ACTGGGGAAAGTGTTTGTTTTGTTTGTTTGATAGGCTTCCTCTGAAAAGGGGATATGCTAATTCTGACAATTAGCTAATTCAGAGTTCCGGCAAACAACAAGCTCATCTAATGGGGTTCAGTCATGATAATAATGTTTCTTGGTGATAAGCTTTTGAAAGCTTTGAAGGGCTGCCTTTGAAGATGGTCCAGAGAATTCAACTGGACGAAAACCAAGCTGCATGCTTAGTAACAGGGTCCACAAACAGGGTTCATGGGTCCACACAACATCAGTTCTTTATAAATTACTTTGGTTGCCCAGGCCCAATTTAAAGTGCTTGAATATAATACAGTCCTTACACCTTAGAACCTGACTACCTAAAGGACCACCTTCTCTCATATATTCCAACCCGCCCATTAAGGAGCCTTCTGAAGGAGCCATCCCTCAAGACAGCGAGAGGGATGAAAGACCTTCGCAACACCTGCCCCAGAGAACAGGCTCCCCAGAGAAACCCACCAGGTGCCAACACGGCTCTCTTTTTGGCACCAGGTGCAAACATGTCACTTATACATATTTTAGTAACTGGGTTTAAATTGCTTCTAATATGTTGCATATGGTTGCCCTTCACTTAAATTGTTTGTAAGTTTAAATATTTGTAATTTTGATTACTTGTTGTAAGCCACTCAGAGATTCCTGTTGGAATAGTTTGGCAGCATACAAATTTATGAATTGCAAGAAATGACAAGCAGTGGCAGCAGTGCTGATTCCCTTGTGCAACCAAAATACTTGTCTGTCCACACTCTAAATATCCAATAGGAGCCATTAGAAGCTCAGGATTCCTCCCCACTCTGAGCAATTGAGCAGTCATACCTGACAGCACGGTCATGTTTCGAGCAGCACTAATGTTGGACGTCCTCATCTGGCTAGTTCCATAGATTTGTTGGTACCCACAGGAATATTGGCCTGCAGAATCCTTCAAGGTCTGGAGTGCCAATGAATATAACATATGAGAAGGCATTGCCTTGTGGGATGAAATGGGGTGCCCATCTTTGCAAAAAAAGAATCTCGTTACAATAGAATCAGAGTGAACCATACATCGCAGTAAGACCCAGTCTCCTTCTTTAACTGCAGTCACATTCATGAAAAATATAGGAGCTGCAAGTTCACCTAAAACATTGTAAAGATAGCATGTGAAAACAGCAAGAGCAAACATGTATGCCATGGGTTCACGTGATATTACCAGCCACATTCTAGAGGGGATTATATGATCCCCTTGGTATGCAATTGCACATGCAGGGTGCATATCAATCCATCATTACTTATTAACTCTCCTGTGATTGGGTGAAGCAAGTCAAACAACATGATAACCCACACGTTATGAGTGTGAGTTGTGTGTACCTTATCATTGAACCATATCTTCCTGTTGAATCATGGGTGCTCATGTCATCTGAACCCAGCTATGCTCACAACCTATGGCTTTTTAACCATGAACCGTACATAAAGAGAGCCCGTGTTTGTTGTTGAGTTACCAAGAGGGGGCTTCCCTCCTCATTTGTGGTCTCAGCTGGGTTAATGCAACAGAATCTCCCCCATTTCAATGGTTCATGGACACTTCACACTTAACCCTTGAGTTTGGGTTGTGCTGTCTGAACTCAGTCTTTGTCTTGCTTACCTTGATATTACTATTTGTTTCAATGCATAACTTATAGGTGTTGTAGTTTATACTTGTTTCTGTAGGTGATTTCTGTCTTTCAGAAACACATCAGGTTGATTAATTAATTCTTTCAATGAAGCCAAACTATTTTACCACTGAGAATGCATACTATCAGTTGAAAACTCAGTGCTCAAGACAGGTTTGGGTGAACCATGCCAAATCAGATCAAAGGGTATTTATCCTGTTCCTCTGCTTACTCAGTGGCCAGTTGGCTGCAGTGGGGAGACCCACAAACAGTATGTAACTTTAGCTCGCCTTCACATTTATGTTCCCTACTAACCTATTGACTACCGTTTCACTCCAGTATCGAAGACATCGTGACTAGTGGCCATGGACAGGCTTAATACATTTGCCTAATCCCCTTTCAGTTATCAAACTGGGTGGCCACTGCTACATCTTCTAGTAGTGAATAATGATAGACAGCTTCATCAATTAACTGTGTCCTATTTGGAAAAAATGTTTCCTCCCATCTGTCCTGAATATCCTAAATAACAGGATAAACCTGCATTCTAGTACTGTGGGTTCCTTTCTCCACATGAGATATAATTCTATATGTCTTTGACATGTCTCCTTTTACTTGCCTTTGTTCTAAATTTAACAGTTCTAGACATTATGACCTTTCTTCATTCAGGATTTTCTCCAGCCCCTTGAATGTTTAGGATCATTACCTTTCTAGATACAGTGACCAGTATTTTAAGCGTTTCTGCAGCATGGAAGGGTTTGAGGTCTCTATGCAATTAGCAGGACAAATGAGGCCATTTTATTTTCAATTCCCTTTCTAATTATGCTCAGCATGCAATTTGTCTTTTTGACAGCACCTTCACACTCAGCTGATATTTTCCTTGAACTGTTCACCACAAACCTAAGATCTCTTTCTTGTTTGACCAGTACTAACTCAAGTCTCACCGGAAAATATGTGAGACTGATTTTCTGTCTTTGGGTTTTTGGTTTTTTTGTTTGTTTGTTTGTTTGTTTGCTTTGTTTTTTTTGTTTTTTGCCTCAAAATGTACAAATGCACACTTGATTATCTTCTCACACAAAAAGAAACCATGGGTAAATTTTCCACACTATGTCACTTATTTATCTCCCCAAATTTATCCAACGCAAATTGCCTTGGTCTGCATCTCGGCTGACCATTTTGATTAAGCATTCCCATAAATGTTTGTATTTAAAATATGTAAGAAATCCCACATTCAAACAGGCATCTCTGCCACAGCTCCTGGTACTCACCTAGAGAGGTGCAGAGCCCTAAACTGGGAGCAGTAGCCTCTGCGCTTAAACACCAGCACATTGCAAAGAAGCCACCTGCAATGACATGGACGCCATCAGTAACAACACTTCCCTATGCCCCGCTACACAAATATAAGCCCCTCTGTGTTTGATTTACTCTCAGGTAAGCGTGTAAAGGACTGTGCTTCACACAACTGAGGATGTATTGAAATTACCTTTTTCATTTTTGATGACTCCTATTAGGAGTAGTAACCTAGTGCTTTATGTATGATTGCCATTTATTTCAGGAAATCTGCAACCATGCCTATAACAATATGCAAGAACCAATCCCCTACAGGGCTACTCAGTGGGGAACACTTAAAAACTCACTTGCAACCCAGGAAGGTATATATGGCAGAATATATACTCACAGGCATTTAGAGCTTTAGATACCCACTGGCGTTTAGAATTTGAAAGGTTGAATTGATCAAGAAACTAACCAGTTCAGAATTTCAAAAAGGAGACAAAAGCATACTCCAGAATAACATGGGAACAGGCCCTTAGGCTGTTGGGGAGTATCAGCCTGGCATAGGAGGGGAGTGTGCCCATGGGTAGGCAGGTCCTGACATGAGAAAGAAATAAAATGCTCAGTTTGCCTGTGCTTTAGATGGTTCTTAGATGTGAATACAATGTTCTGCTGTGTTGAGTGACAATTCAGGTGCTGTTTTCCCTTCTGCACATTTCCTCAAATCCTTCCATTCTGATGAGGCAAGAAAGTGTCCGTGTACATTTTAAAAAAAAATTTTAAGTAAAATGAACAGAATAGACAGATTGCTTCTGTTGTCGTTCTTGCCACACTTCAGAAGGAAATTTGTACTCGTGCCCTTATGTATTTTTCTTGAGACCCTGTCCAAAGTTTTGGTGCACAAAAAAAGTAGTAGTCAAAACAGTTGTATTTCAGACAGATTCAGTCTGTTTTAATGTTGTCTGTCTGCAGGTTTGTTTTCTTATTTGTCTATTTATTTTCAAACACCCTGGTGCTAATTTTAAAAACACATTATTTTTGAAAGCACGGTGGAATGGCACAACCTCCTATACATCTGGTGTGCGTGCGTGCACACATAAAACCAATTGTTACAGATTTAAGGATATGCCCTCTGCTCATTCACTGCTCTTCACATCTTCATAAATCATGAAATAACAGAGTAAGTTCCCAAAATATCCAAGTATCAGAATCTATTTCAATTATTTTTCTGTTCTTCCTTTCAGTTGAATATTCACAGGGGGAGAAAGGGAGAGAGAGAAGTATCCTATGAAAGATTTCACAGGGATTTCTGAAAAGTTGATCCTACAATCCAGTCTGCAGGTCAGAGGCAACCCAGCTCCACCCAGTCCCTTCACTGCTTTCCCAACTCACAGAGCAACCACAACTGGCTCATCAAAGAGTAGGAGCTGAGATGCCGATGTGATGATCGTGTGGAAGCAGCCGGTCCTCTCTCCCCTGACATCATCCCTCAGTCCCACTTGCTTGTGCTTAGAGGATGGCTGAAATGATCAGGGCTTTGCAACATGCCTGCCTCTGTCCCCTCCCCTCTATACATACATAAATGATTCTTCATTAGCTTGGAAGGGAGGGTGTGAAACTCTGGCATGATTTTTTCTAGTGAGACTGTCAGAAACTTTCAATGTATTCTGTTCTCCAATTATTATTATTGCCACCATTCATAATTTAAAACCTTAGACTTTTCGGTTCTTCCTCCTTGTGCTACTAGTAGTGGGATGAAAGAACATTGAGAACCAGAGTCTCAAGAAGGGCAGCATGGCCAGGGATTTATCTCTTTACTCTTTTTGTTCACTCATTAATTCATATCACTTTCACCTTGCCTTTCCTCCATGGAATGAACAGCACCCAAACACTTACTCTTTTTATTCCTCCCTCAAGTAGTCAGACAACAAACCTGTGAAAAATGTGCACAAGTGACCCAAGTTAGCCAGTGGCCTTCAAGGCAGGGACCTCAATCACACATACACTGACACACACCTGGGGGCATGTTTACTCATCCAGCAGCTTTCCTTCTTGACTCTGGGCCCTAGAACAATGGTGCCCCAGGAGGAAGGTACAGTATTCAATAGACCAGGTGCCCCAGCTCATGCTGGTGCCCTTTGGTGGTCTGGGACTTCAGTTCAAGGACTCCTGACCATTGGATGTGCTTGCTGGGACTGATGGCTCTGTATTTCCACCAGGGAACGTAGAGAACCTGCACAGCAGCTCTTCCTTCATCTGGCTTCACAACCCTGTGGAAACTGCAAAAGCAACCTTGTTCTCAAGGGAAAGCAGGGATGAGCATGCTCCCTCCACCTCCTCTGCCATCATCTCTGCCCGCATCTGCCCCACTTCAAGAGGCACCCTCACAAGCATACCTGAAAGTTCTTCACCTGCATATGGCACTTCTCACACCATCTGGAGTCACGTGATGAATCAGGTTTGACTGAAGGATCTCTTGATGGATGTCCAAAAGAATTTTGCCCCAAGCATCTCACACAATTCCTCAAGGACTACCTTGGTGGTTGCACTGCCAGATCATTCACCTGAAGTCCCAACAATGTCTCCTTGACTAGCTTTAGAATGCTATAGAAGCAATGCCAAAAACTCCCTGCTCACATGTGTAAATTCTCACCTCCCAGCCTGTCATTGGAGCTGAACACAGACACATTCCTCACCCTCTTTCACTTCTCCCAATACTCCTTACATCAAAGTCCAGGAGATGGTCTGGGGGCTCCAAGGCTTTTTTTAGAGTAGCTTCACAGGCATGGTCATGGGAGCTGGGACAGAAGAAAAAATGTTCAGGGTTTTTTTTTTAGCTGAGGCTGTTAATTGCTGTTTCTTCATTTTGACAAAGTACTGAGAGCCAAGCTATGCACAAGCAGATCTTTCTTTCCTGCTCTTCAACCTCAAGGGGGAGCAGCAGTGCTACTGGGGATGCCCTGAATACAATAGGGGAGAGAACACTGTCCTCGCCATTGTGATTTCATACCTCCTGTTCTGCATTCTAATAAAAACCTTGGAAAACTACTCCAAAAAAACTGAGAAGCTGGAGCATTGCAACATTATTCAAACAGTCCATAACCAACAGCTGGAAGAGAAAGGTGAAGGGATGCCTGGAAATGACACTGTCTTTTCCCAAACTACTATGCAGGAAGCAACAATATAGTGCCTCTTCCTGGACATTCTACTATAGACTTGCAGCTGCTGCAGGCATCTTTAGGGGAAAATCCTACCCCATCTTGGCAGGAAAAGGGGTACAGTTCCATGCATTCCCTCGTCAGCCAAGCCTCATTTGCTTCCTCATCCATGCTCCCTTTTTAAGCTTACAAGGTGGAGCCAAGACAGGTGAACAGAGACACTGCTTTGCACAACTCCGTGGAGTTGGACATACTGGTGATCCTGCTAGCCACATCCTCCTATTGTTCCTGATAGCCTCTCTGTCTTCTTTGGGTGGGCAGGCAGTGATGGGGTTACACAACAGCAAGGCTTCATCCTTGCTAGCTTTGGTCCATCTCTGCAGATGCTTGTTGCCCCCTCAAACTGTCTTGGGCCTTTCCCAAGGTTGCGCCAGCTCCTCTTTGACGTATCATTAAGAGAGCAAAGTCAGAGCTGGGGTCTTCTGCCCTCCATTGTGCATGTGGACAAGAAGAGGCTTGATTGCCACAGAACTGATTGCAGTCTATTCTGGGCTGTATCAGGAAACACCTGCTCTTGCATACATGCCTTATTAAGAAACGAACAGCCATTTCACTAGTACAGAATTGGATTAATGTTTAACTGTTCTCCATTGCTTTCATTTTTCCTGGTCAAGGTCCAGGACTTCCTTCAACATGCTTCCTCCTACACGACTTCAAATTATACCTGAAATGAAGAAGACTTTCAGGACTGTGTGTTTTCTTGGCCAGCATGGGTGCTTCTAAACCACCGGAAAAGGTAGCCTTTCCCTTCTACTGGTGGTGGTTGTTTTTATTTTGTGTTGTTGTTGTTGCTGCTGCTGTTGTGATTTGTAGCTTCAAAATGGGCATTAGTCTGTTACACAAAGGAAGGTGAGCAGTGGATTTCAGTGCCATGCTCCCATGTTAGTTTGGACATCTATCTTTGACCATTCTTTGAATATGAATCTTCTGATTAGTGAGGGTAAATGTATGACATTGGCTGAACTGTTTTGCCCTCAGTTTGTTCCTAAGAATCATTGTACCACACTTTACATTCTTTCATCATGTAATCTGTAAGCAAATTAAAGTACGTTAGGTTGGTCAAAGCATGTTACACTAACACTCCTTAATGGCAAGGGGGACTCTGTTTTTTATTATTGTTATCACAATAGATGTTATTAAAAATGCATATTCTAGGAAAGAAACTCATTTTAGTTCCATGGATTTCAGTAGGAGTGTCAAAAACATGCCAGCTGTTGTCATTCTGTATCCACTGGGGAAAGGAAATGCAATTTGCAAGAGTCCTGAATTCCGAAGGTACATTTACATTTTATTTTCCTAAATAAAGTCCTTGTAACTGGTGTTAGGGAAAGGAGTTGTGCACCTCTTCTATATGGTGGCAAGAGTGTGAAGAGAGCAGAGTTCAAAAGGTGATTTATCAGGCTTCAAAAATGGAATTTATTTCCTCATAATAATGGCTTCTGCTGCGGTTGTTCTTATTTCAGATCCAATCTGTGTGAAGAAATGCAAGGGGCCATGGATCTCAGCAAATATTTCCTTTTTATTTCTTCCTCAGCTGTAATCTTAGCATGCCTCACTGCATCAGGTAAAACAAATCTAGAAAGTCTCATGGCCATGCTCAAGAAAGGGTTCATCACAGGCCCTGTGTGCAAGGGACATCCTAGGATGCCTAGAAGAACCATGCCAGTGACTTTCCTGGCCAGGGCAAGCTCCAGTGTTGGCTGCCAGAGTCTTGAAAGAATCACCAGGGAAGCCAGGAACCATGTGTCACCAATTAAAAGACCTAGCAAAGCTTGCTGTATCAGCAGATCTGACTTTCAAAGTGATGGGGCTCTGAGGAAAGGTGGATTGATGACCTCAAAGCAGGGAAGAGACTTTTTAGTGGAGAAGAGTTCCGAGGAGATCTGATAAGGCTTTAGCTGGCATCCAGGCAGTGCATTTATCTCCAAAGCTACTCCCTAAAAGGAATGACATTTCTTGCAAATGCAACAAGTAGCTGAAGGTCATCCAGTGCAAACATGATGCAAGCACTGAGAGTGTAACAGAAGACAAGGTGGCTTCCCTTTCCAAGCTCAATCAAAGCTTTCTCTAGCAACAGGACTCTAGCAATAGCTTCCTCCATCATTCCTGGCTAGTTTAAGGGGGTGAGGACATTGTGTGACCTGTACATAGTGGCAGGGTTGAGAAGGAATACCTGGGAGGCTGCCCCCCAGCATCTGCCTCCTAAAGTTGTTGCTTCCCTCTGCCTAATGATAGGGCAACCCTCATTCATGTGCCCAGAATTAAGGGGAGTGATTTCTCCAGAGAATCTAAGTAGCCATTCTCGGACCTTCTGAATGATGAGTTTCACCTTCAGCTAAATAAATGCTGCTTTTACATGCTGCAAACTTGACTTAAAAATAATTTATTTTTCTAGAAAATTTTGAATTAAGTTCATCTCCATCCATCACTGGGGAAGTTGGTGAAGATGTGGTCTTACTTTGTCAGATCTCACTTGGAAAACAACTCCAAAATATGGAAGTTCAATGGAAAAAAATTATTGGGAATCATGTGAGCAACATCTACCAGTTCACAGCTCTCACTGCCCAGGAAATCTTTGGACAAGGCTACCAAAACAGGGCAGTATTAATGAAGACTGGAATAGCTTCTGGAAACGTGTCCTTAATGCTGAAGAAGGTTCGAGTCTCTGATGAAGGGGTCTACCGTTGCATTGTCAATTCTGTTGACTGGAGCGATGACACCCAAACAGTTCTGCATGTTACAGGTCAGAAAACATGTAGCCCCAGGGTACATTCTAATATAGCAGGGTGTGATCTCTAAAGCAGGGGAGGCTGCTGGTTTGATTTTTATGTTTTGGCTTCAGCATTACTGCTTTGGCTTGACATTCATGGCACATTGGAGCACTGCCTTCTCAGTGCAAGACCAGCCATACCATTAGAGTGAGGCAGCCACCTACTACAGATTTTTAGTGCCACAAAAATGCAACATATTGCTAATTATTTAATTTGCTAATTTAATTGCTAATTATTTATTTTGCAGAAATATTACTTTACTGCAACATATGGGGAAAAGGCAGCTAAGGGATGTTCTGCCTCTGGTGCCAAAAACTTGTGCATATTTGCACATCATGCATCTTGACTTGGGTGGGTGAGTGAGAGCATCTTTTGCTGCTCTGCTTCCAGAAGCAAAGTATCTTGAGCAGGCCCTGCTGATGTCTGTCTCTCTACCTCTTCTCCTCACTTAGGCTATTCCCAATGCATGGACACAGTCAATAACTGGGAAAGCCCTGGAAGGAGCACTTCCTCTGAGACTGTAAGGGCATCCACCTATGTTCCCAGTGTCATATTTCTATGAATCTGGCTGCTTCCCATTGAAACCTATGCAAGACTTATGGTTTTTTTCCACTGATATATTGTCTATGAATTTTATTTGTAAACCTTAGTCTCTCAATATGTTATTTAGGAAGGCAAACAAAGAAGACCTTCCTTCCTCCTGGCCATCTTCACCTCACAGTTTTTCAGATCCAGTCTTTATGTGTCTTCATCCAGAGAAAAAGGGAAAAACTTGTTTCTGGAGTGTACCACTTCAGATTGCATGTGAGAGTTGTATGCTCAAATGTCCTTCTGTACAAAAATGAAAGGTAATTAAATTAAATCCTTGCACATAAAAAGCATGTTGAGGAACAAACTCGCCTAGAACCATGGTACTGGGCATCTTGAATTCTAGGTGAAGAGATAAAGAAACAATAAAGAGAAGCATCCACTAGTGGGAACTTAGACCATTCTGAAATGGGAAAATCCCAACAAAGTTTAACTCATCTGCTGTTTGTGAGAACTAGGCATATGGATTGCAGCAGTGTCTATGACCAATTAACAGGCTGTGCTCAGGAAATACTTAAAGCTGTAGCCATAATGATAATCTGAGAGTTATTTAGCTCTCACTCAAACACCACACACCACTCTCTCATTGGTGGGACCTTTGCTACACCTTACTCTTTTCATTCTTTCAGCTGTGGGCAATGTCTCAGTGGAGATTGGGGGTCCAGATGGTGACGGGATCAAAGTGGTTTGCAGATCTACAGGGTGGTTCCCCAAACCTGATCTTCACTGGTTGACGAAAAGCAGCCAAGTCAACCAACAGTGTGAATCAAAGCAGGACTATGAGCAGCTGTTCAGCCTTTCAAGCAGCATGACCGTCTCAAGAGATATGGGAGAAATTACCTGCTCTGTCCAGGGAAGACGCTCACAAATGAGGCAGAATGTCACCATCTTCCTTTCACGTGAGTTGAGTGTAACATAAGCAAGATATGAATGATTTAGACAGGGATGCTTGTGAATATCCAGTTATGGCCTCTTTGTTATAGACTTCAGTTCTCATCAGCCTCACCCAGCATGAATAAATGCTCAGGAATGGTGGAAACTGGTCAATGAAAAGAGCTGGAGAGAGCCAGCTGGGGAAAATAGATCAGAAGAAACTGCTTTTAAACTAGAGAGCTATAGGACAATGTATATGATGAGTGGGATCCACATGTAGCCATGGCCAGGATAAGCCAATCAAAACCAATGGAGTTTAATTCAGTCATGGCTAACATAAATCCCACCCCATTAATTTCAGTGCTTCTACTCTGAGTTTGATCAAGCCAAACTGAGTCCTGGTGAACAGGGCCAGATGGAGGGGTAGACAACCTGGGGAGCCAGTTTTGGGAGTGCCTGCCCATTCAACTCCCTGCTCAGTGGCTGAAACAAATACTATGAACAGTCCATGTGGCATAACCACAGAAATGCTGGCATTGCTAGAACCACCAGAGCTGTTCTTCAGCAAGAGGCCGTAGCATCTCTGCAAAGCAAATAGCAATGCCTAGTGTGCACGTGAACTATGGCAACCCTTGTTGTTCACTCAGGAACCAGGTACCTGTGTGATGATCAAGCAGGCCCTTACTATGTTCCACTCCTCAGTAAGAGTGGCCAGTCCCTGACTATTGATAAGAGAAGCTGCTGGTCTGCCTGTGGATGAGAGCTACAGCCTCTGCCACATACATGGACACTATCACAGAACTGGAAGGGGCCTGATCATAGAATTGTCTCAATTTATTTTTCATGGGAGACTTTCTATACAAAACTCTACAGTAACATTTGGTAAAATGGGATAAGAGTGAGAGAGGGAAAGCAAGCAGAAACCTGGTTCACTGAAAAGCCCCAGTAGTTTTCTATTGTTCAAGAAAAACAAGGTGTAAGCTGTTGCACAACTTTTGTTTTTGTCAGGAATTACATAGGACTTTTTTACTATTTTAAATAATCTATGTAGCTGATTTTGTTGTATAAAATTCAATATTTAGATGGTAGTAATATGCAAATTAGATTTGTTGTTGTTGTTAGTTGCAAAGTCACATCCAACCCATCATGACCACATGGACAACTTTCCTCCAGGCCTTCCTGTCCTCCACCATCCCCCGGAGTCCGCTTAAGCTCACACAAATTAGATTAAATCCTCATTAAAAAATGGCCCTGGCAGCCTCACCTCATTCTCTGTTATTTCTGTTTGACAGGAAACCTTTTTCCATCTACTTCCCCTTGGCTTCCTGCATTCTGGATCTTGTTCATATTGGCACTTTTAAGTTTTGGTGGAGCAGCATATGCCAAATATCGAGGTACAGTGAGTCCCAGCCAGCTGAATAGACTGAAAACACAGGAGCCCTCATGTTTGAAGAAAGATATCGATCACAACTTGTTTCCAGATTAAATCATTCATTCTAAATATCTGAATTACTGTTTTATGGGAAGTCAGCTCTTTCATTTGGATGGTCCATCCTTCATAAAGAAAAAGAAAACTTCCTAACATGCCCATGGAGGGGGTCAAAGGGAAGTGAATCACAGGCAAATCTGAACAATCTCTTCCCCAGACTTCACTACCTGTATCAAAGTTGGGATCCATGAAGTTGTTCATTTCCAAAGATGGATTTGGATTCAGTCCTGAGTTGATACAGGCAGTCTTCAGATCAGATCAACCTAAAGGGAGCTCTTTTCTGATTTCCTCAGTCATGGTCTAACCTAAACTTGAGTCATTGCACAAGCCTAGCTCAAAGCACAGGGTAGTTTCGATTTTTTAGGGCTGTGGTGGATTTTTTGCCCTCTGGATCAAATTGGCCATGGCTGCAAGGAAGTTTCCCAGCATGTATTGTAAGGAGAGCAAGCTATTTCAGCATGGACCAGGTTTTGTGCTTAAATGCTTAGAGCACAGGCAGATTCGGTGCAGATAAAAGAGGGTATATCAAAATTAGGAATTACAATTAGCAGCAAGAGAGAGTGAAGGGAGACATTTCTTAGATCATGCATTTCTGTAGCCTTCCCATTGTCTTGCTTTAAATTCATGGGTGTCCCATTTGTTCCATTTTGACACTCTGGATATGTGCTTTATCTCTTGCAGACAAGCGAAAAATGTCTCAGAGGAAACGCAATGATGAGGAGCAAAAAATGATTCAAGGTTGGTTCTGAGCAGAAAAGTGAAGTCCTTCAATGGGGTGAATGTTGCTACTTCCAACTATACTTTTTACCAATTCTACTTTTGCTTCTCTTTTCAGATAACCAGATGAAGATTAATGAATCAGGTACATCTGGGATCAACTTTATAATGCTTGGAATTTGACACAATTAGTACTTGTCAAGTTTCACCCAAGCAAAAAGAGTCAAAGACCTTTATTTAGATGAGGTTGTTTATCAGCTGTTAATCTGCTGTATCTGCCTTTGGTTTCATCACAGAATTGAGGGCTAATGTGCTGCTTTTCCCATTCTCTCTTCCATGTTGATCAGTACAAAACTAAAGTCCTAGCTAATGTTCTAACAGTTAGAATTTAACTAGATCCTAACTAAAGTCTTCCTTATGATAGGGTTAGGGTTAGGGTTAGGGTTCCTGCTACTTGAGGGCCAACATCAGGCACTATTTAACTAGGCTTCCCTTTTGATCTGATGTCAAATACATGGATAATCATGTTAGGTCCACCCCATCTGATTCCACCTATTCATAGAAAGCAGCAGCAGCAACAACAACAACATACATGACTTCTCACAGAGCCCAACCTGGTCTGGTTCACCAGTTTTTTTGGCTTCTCTGTCAGGCTGCTGGCCTTAGCATTTCAGCTAAGAATTCCAAAATGTCTGACAGTACGAGCAGACTGGAAAACTGGGGAAGGTAAAAGAACAATGAGATGGACTCCTAAGAAATCTTCACCAGAGCCTTTCACAGTAGTGTAACTAGGTAATGTTAGGCCCTGCATTCCATGCTTTAAAGCTATTTCCTCGTTCCCTGGAATATTAGAACTACCAGAAAATCAAAGCTGCTTTGCATTTTGCATTTGTGCACCATCACAATTCTGGAATAAAATGGAGTTTAATTCTGCACTTGCTACTCTGGTTTTTGCCCCCAAGGACTAGCCCTAGCAGCACCACTGAACTTTGCAGCCATATATTCTAAAACAGCTGAGTTTCTAGATGTAGGAACCACTCATTTGCTGTCTCTAGGATGGAGAAAAGTGTTGCAACTTTCTTGTTGTAGTTTGTTAGGTGAAAAGAACAGTACATTGGGAGATGCTGTATAGGTTCTTAATGCTCCACTCTTGCTCCCTGTGCCATCTGCAGAGGCCTCCAGAGATTGTCCAAATGATGATTGCTTTCTTCTTATTGACCCGTTATTAACTGATGTTCTGTTTTGCTTCTTACAGAACACAAGGAACATCAATGGATGCTTGGTAAGTTTCTGCACCTTCTGTCAGAGAAATGTTGGGCTGAGAGACCTGCATGAAGGTGGCCTTCCTGAGACATAGAAGAGGGGATTGTTTGATTCCTAAAGTTGGCCTTCATCTTAACACAGTTAACATCCTTATCAAAACTCATCATTGTTCGTCAAGGTCCATGACAGGTGAAAGAGTCACCAGTTAGGTTTGCAGTGAAGCTCTAACTCCATCCTTCCAGCCATAGAAAGCAAACCAAGCTGAGAGGAAGCCTGCAAAGGTTGTAAAACCATCAAGCCTCTTTCACATCACATGCAATGCCACAAACACAGGCTGATGCCCAGTGCATGGCAGAGGAACACTGGTTGCACATCCATGCAAGGGGCTCAATTCCTGGAAATAAATGGAGCTTGATTCCTGACAAGCATCATACAAATGCTGTGCTTGCTGGCCAGGAACTCATACTTAGGCTGCAGCAAAGCACACCAGAATCCAGGAAACCAAGCCCAGGGACACCAGTAGATTTCCACCCCAAACAGATTTCTCACTTGTTCCTATTTACCAGCAACCACATGGTAAAGACCTCTGACCAGCTGGAATCTGGCCATGAAGACTTAGGTCATACTGCAGCTTCTAAGCTTGAAGATGTTCAAGCTTGAAAATTAATCCCCAGCGTTACCATCACTATGTGGGACAGAAGGAGTCATCCCATATGCTGCCTTCTCTATGCAATAAGCTAACTGGCATTTTTGTGATCTGTATTTGTCATGGGAAATATTTTGAAGATTAAAAGGAATAATAACACCATTTCTTTCCATTTCAGAAAGAGCACAGGCGGAATTAGGTAAGAGAGCACGTATCTCTATCTGTTAATATCATTCCGTCTTTGTAAAGACAGACAGAGCCCCCCCCCCCCCCTTTCATAATCCTTACATTGCTTGGAAGGATTGCTCTGCTCCCCTCTACCCATTTGTACTCTTGGGATCCTTCAGTCATGGGATTTTCAGGCCTTTTCAAAACACCCCAATCCAGTGATTGTCCCACACCTTTTGGCTGCTTCTCCTGCATCTCCCCTCTCCTGGGGAGGGGAAAATGTGGTGTTATTTTTGCTCTCACTCTGACTCTTGTCACTTCACTCATACTGTTATGCTCCCCTATCCCTTGGGGTGTGGAATGAAGTAGAGAGTGATGAGGCAGTAGAAATGGGGCTTGGTGCCTGCCCACTTGGCCATTCCTCCTCTGCCCCTTTTGCCACTGCTGCTCCATGTGTGTGCAATAGGCTTTCATTACTTCTTCCTTCGCCTCTCCTCCCTGGGTTGTTTGTTTAGGGGGGGGGGGCAGCTCTTGGCAGCAGCAAAAAATTCTTGATCTGTTGGACATGTGGGGGGAAAGGGACAGGGAAGGAGATGGCTGAGAGGAAAGACTCAGGAGCAGTCAAGGGGCTTCAGCTTAGAATTGTTCTTTACAATCTTTCCTCCTTTTGCAGAATTTAGGAAAGCTCGAAACTATCTAGGTGAGTAGAACTCGTATGTCAGAGGAATGGCTGGGCTAATAGCACAAGTGAGGCCATGAGTCCAAGAGCCATGTGGTGGATAATAACTGGATAATAACATTCCCAGTGCTTCCTGGAGCAAAGAAGGAAGGAAGCGATTTTTCATAATCTGTATTGCATCCAATACAATTCAAGACAGTTGACACAGTTAAACACAGTCTGAACCATAAGCAATGTTTAGAAGGAGGCAAAGATCACAAAAGCAGACCACAACATCTGTGGCTATTTTGTCAATGGCTGAGCTGTTTGTTCTTTGGCAGCAAGTTTTTATTTTGTCATTTATGTGTACGCCGTTGCATCTTTTAAAAAGCAACTTTTAACTCTTTGTAATCCCAGTGAACATTACTTAATGGAAATAGAAGAAATGATAATTATAATGTTGATATACATTTACTATTCAATAGGAATATTACTCCCACTAGTGAATAACTTTTTTAAGTTATCTGTCACATTGGAGCCACTATACCACTGGCTTATCAGCTCTGATTTGTCTCCCCAGTTCAGGTTCATCTGGATCAAAAGTGCAAACACCCTGAACTGTTAGTGTCTTCAGACTGCAGCAAAGTCCATCATCAACCTGCATCTGGAGGGGCAGATGTATTTCCTGGTGCCCTGATTGTCATAGGAAATGAGGGATACATGGATGGGAGGCAGTACTGGGAGGTGAATGTAAAGGATGTGCCTGACTGGGAACTGGGAGTGCTGACAGAGGACCAAAGGAGCAAACTGGAAGCAGGAAAGCTTGATGCCCTTGAAGAAGAGCAATCCTGGTCTCTGAGGAGATCAGACGGGAGGTATCACCCTGAGGAGGCAAATTCTGAGCTTGAAAAATACAGTCTTTCACTTAAAGTAGTTGGTATTTATCTGGACTGGAAAGAAAAGTCTGTTTCATTCTATCATGTGAAAGCCATGACAGCTATTGTAAAAATGCCTGTCAGTACAACACCCCAGAAGCTGTATCCGTTCTTCAGCCTTTGTCACTCCAAAGGGCATGATAGAGAGAAGGCCCTCACCATCTTACATAACAAAGATTGGGATTTCCCAGAACACATAGAAGCTTTCTAATCAGCTAGTTTCAGAAATCCAGGAAAAACTGGAAGCAAAGAGCACCAGTCAGGAATGCCAGGGTGGGAGAATGGCAAACTTCAGAGTCTGAGAATTGAATTGAAGTAGGAAAGCACCGTGGAGGATATCTTGAAGAAGCCATGTCCTGTTCCTCCAGAACCTCCCTCAACTGAGTTTTTATGCTCCTTTTTTCCTCTCACACCATTTACTCTCTCACAGAGCAATCCTATACATGTCTATTGAAAAGTAAATCCCATTGTGTGGGGAAAAGGGCTTACTCCCAGCAAAGTGGGAACAAAACCACAGGCTTTGAAAAGCCTTTGGTTTAGCTTGTGTTATGCTTAGAATAGCATGGGAAAGACAGCAGATTAGGACAGCTTACTAATTCTTGATTCAGAAGAGAGACTTTCAGGAACCCCATGTCCCCAAACCCAACATAGGAACAGGAATGTCAAAGGATTCAAAACAATACAGTTTCCAAGAAGTCCCTGCCTTGAGATCTCAGCTGAGAGTTAATGTATTTGAAAGTTATATTTTGGGTACCTATTCAACGCCCTGGTTTTAATGTTTACTTCCTTATCTAATGTGATTCCAAACATCTGCAACATTTTTAGCTGAAAAACATGTTTTCTGTAATGTGTGCTTCACTATTATTTGGTACTAAGGACAAAAATAAATGCTGGTAAAAAAGCCAGCCATCCTTTTTTCATAGTAACCTTATACATCTTTCTCTCCTCATGTCTATATTTCTGATGTTCTGGACACCCAGCTATTTCACCCACAGTAACTATTTTGTATGAAGATGCTTTATTCCTGTTAAAAATCATGATGAAAATGACATAAATTCAGATGAATAAGATAGCGATGTTCCTGTAGCCATAGGCCACTTGTGTCCCCCAACCATGTTAAACCCCAGGTTGTACAATTGAAGATTTGGTCTTCAGACCTATTCCCTGGTCCAGAATATGAGACTTGGCAACTCTGAAAGCAACACAGAATAGTTATGCTTCATATTGATTAAAACAATAGATATTCCAGCTGGAGGATTCCTAGAGTTATCCATCAGAAGGCAGTGAGCGATTTTCTCATCTTTCCCAGTTTAGCAAAGAAGAAAGGAATTGAAGACAAGATGGGGAAACAGAGGAGGGCTCTGAGTAGAAAATGGCATCATTTGATCCCCCACCATTTAAAATTCCATGAATGATGCAGAGCGATGGTGCAATAGAAGCCTCACCTGGCAATACCCAATGAAAATATGACTTGTCATTACCTAACAGAGCAAAAGGAAATGTATAAATAGAGTAGGAATCCATTGAGGGAACATTGGTGATATTTAGGAGCCAGTATGAATAAATACAATGAGAAAAGAGCATCAGGTGGGAAATGCTTGTTCATATCTGAGCAGGTTTCCTTATTCCTCTTTCAGAATTTACTTCTGGAACTCCCAGTTTATTCAACCCCGTAAGATGCTATCCATCCATTCTGAGGAGACCCTCTCCCACTGTCTTTTTAGGCAGTGTGATGGAGGCATATGCTGTGCTTTCTGCATTTATGACTGGGTTTTCCTTGAAAATTAAAACAGAAAATCAGTCTGCTAACCGGGGGCTTTTCAGCTGGGCCAACAGCTGCTAGAAAGACAAACACCTGTACAAATTGTCCCTGGCTGCCGGAGACAAAAATGCACATTCCTTCTTAATGATTTTGCAGTGGTGCACCAGAGAGTTCGTGGGAACCCCTAGGAGCTTCTAAAGGTTTCCCATTATGCTCAGAGATGCTGGTCAAGCTTTGATGAGAGGCAGATTGCCTGCAACCCATGGAGTTTTCCTTGGCAGAAATGTTTTATTTATTTATTTATTTATTTATTTATTTATTTATTTATTTATTAAAACATTTTTATGCCGCCCCATTCGCTGAAGCCTCGGGGCGGCTTACATCACTAAATTAAAATAATTATAATATAAATTAAAAATATAAATATTAAATCAAAAATACAAAAATACAGTATAAAATAATGTTTTGTTGTGCAGAAACAGCAACTCAAGGAAGGCTTTTTCAAAATCTATTTTCAATAGAACTTTAGCCCTATATTAGGGTAAGGGGTGTGCACCAGGGTAGGGTTACAAAAACAAGGTGTCCTGGTATGATTTTGATGGTTGGAATGTATTTAGAATGGGCAGAAATGATGAGCAGTGCAGAAAAAGCTACTCAAGGAGGGCGTTTTCAAAATCGCCCTCTCAGTCGGCACGCGAGCCAAGTCATCCCAGCATCGCCCCAGCAGCCGAGCATCAGGTAACAGCGCACATGGAGGCCATGCACATGCTCGGGAAGGAGTAGTGGCACCAGGTGATGACATCACTAGCCATGAATCATTAGCTGCAACTTGTTCAAGCTTTCGCATGGCCGGTCAGTCTGCTGCTAAGGAGATATATATATATATATATATATATATATATATATATATCTCCCCATATATATCCACATATAAATATATATATATATGGATATATATATAAGGTTTGCCATTACTGGTGTATTAAATCATCCTGCAATTCTTAATGTGTAACGTCTGAGTGTTTTTCATGAGGCCATTACCCCAGTTCAGCTGTGCCAAATGTTCGGAGATGTTCCAAAGAACTGATGTGGAAAGCGATCCTTCAAAAAGCCAAATCTAGAAACCAAGCAAGCATTGTTCTCTAGGGAAAGAAGTCCGCAAGTAGGTCCTACACATTGCTTGTGATTCAGTGGGGCTAAGGCAATGCTGTTGCTTCTGATGTGTTGCTTTATTGGTGAAACTATTCAAACATGTAAGTTTGTCACATATAAACATAGCCAGTATCTTTCTACTGAGTCGGATCATTGGGCCATCTAGCCCACCATTGCATATCTTCCTTTCAAACATGATTCTGAAAGAGTAGAAGAACATTGAAAGGGAATATACAATCACAGAACACAAATGTATCTCATTTTATTTCAGATTATATAGCCATATTGGTTCTTAAAAATCCAAATCTAAATGTGGATTTTGGGTTGCAATGTTTTTTGTCTCACCATCACCCCCATCAATAAGCGTCTGCACCATGAAGGCACCAGCTGTTTAATCTAGAAGGTATTCTAGCATTCCTCCATCCTCAGTCTGCTCTTTGCTTTTTCTCTCGCCCTGTTTTTCTGCCCTTCTATTCCACCTTGCAGACTGCTGGCAGCCTCTTTGCAATGCAGAAGAAAGCATTGCAAGAACATGACAGGCAGGAAGAATTTAATGCCCCAAACTAGAACTCTGGGCTTCAGCACTACAAAGAATTTAGTCAGCCTCCTTTAATTTCCTCCCTCCACCACTACCTTACACTTTTCATCCTCCCACTTTTCATTCCTCTTTGTTAAAACTTTTGGCTATGTTTTTGCATTCAATTATGGTTTGCCTTGAGAGATGGATCATGGAATTAGCAACTACTCTGAGAACCCCAAGTAAAATCCTCAGAGGGCAGATGGACCTCCTGCCCTGCCACTTGCTAATTGCATTCACATAGAGTTACAGGGAGAGCAAAAGAACATGAAAAAAGCAGATTGTTATTCCTCCAAAGCAGGTTCGAAGATTCTAATTCAGACACCGCACCAGCTGCTGTTCTTCAAGAAGTAGTTGAATATTGGTGCTGATACCAGAAGGAGAAGCACAGTTGTGATGCGGAGAATCCATACGTAGGGAGAGATTGTTTGTCCTGAACCAAAGAAAGAAAGTGCAGTGTGCATTAGGTGTGCATGTGCAGAGGCATACCCAGAGCTTAAACTATCATGCCTCCCTCCCCACCTCCATCCTGTATGGGTTCTCTAATTTTGGGATGGACTTGCATGCTAGCTCCTCCTGACTGACAAAGTTGAACCTCACTCAGGCTGCAGGTCCACCAAGCAGCCAGAGCTCCACTCAGAAAACAACTGTGAGTGGACCATCATCTGAGTGGGATGGAGTAAACTGGTGTCCTGCAACAGCAGGGGGTTCAATCCCATGGCCCCTTCCAACTCTACTATTCTATGATTCTATGAACTGTTAGCTGTGCAGTAGAGTGGAAGATGCAAGGGGATAAGAGTCATCCATCCTGGACTCCACAAAAGGAGCAGATATCTTAGAGCAGGATTTCAGGGATGCAAACCCTAAACACTGGATCACAGAACTTTCATGTGCACTGTCAGCTTCTGATTTATTCTGCTATCAAGGCAAACCCAGGGAAGAAGATCTAGGATGCATCAGGTGGTGGAACTTGGAAGGATATTGTACTAACAGAGTAATTTGCCATTGCTATTGTTGTTGTTGTTACTGAGGATTTTCTCTAAATCAAGAATCTGGTCTTCCTTTTAGAGTATTATGTATGTATGTATGTATGTATGTATGTATGTATGCATGCATGTATGTATTAGAATTATATCCCACCTTTGTTCTTACAAAGAAGTCAAGGCAGCTTTCATCATTCTCTTCCAAATGCTTTCAATCACCACCACAGCAACCCTGGACTGAGAGTCTGTGACTGGCCCTAAGTTACCCAGTTGGCTCTATGGCTGGGTGGGGAGTAGAAACTAGAACACCAGAGTTCCAGTCCCACACTTAACCATACACATCACAGGCCCCACACTGGGTTTAAGGAATTCTCTATACTGCCTCTATACTGCCTGGGAATTAGTTAATGAAGTGAAGTGCATAAATAATTTAAATAAAGAAAGCAGCTGCTCTGTTTGAGTAGTCACAAACTATTTCTCCACCAAAAGTCTTTCCATGTTTCCTGCCAGGTTTTACTTTGACCTTGGATGCCTTGAGTTTCTCTCTCCCTCTCCCTCTCCCTCTCCCTCTCCCTCTCCCTCTCCCTCTCTCTCTCTCTCTCTCTCTCTCACACACACACACACACACACACACATTTATACCATTTAATACATTTATTCCATTTAATATATTCAGTATTATCTATCTATCTATCTATCTATCTTGCCCTTCCTGCAAGAAGCTCGGGGCACCTTAC